TGCGGGGCCCGAGCGGCCCCCTCGGGGGAGGGAAGGGGTCCCCCTGATGTTGGGGGGGTCCTGGTGCTCAGCACTTGGCAAATGCACTGCCCCCCGGCACGGGCCCCCCAACAGCACAGCCCTGCTCGGCCCCCACCCGTGGCAGTGTCTGCTCTGCCCCCTGGCACTGCCCCACACTGCAGGAAGGGTAAAATCACCGCGCATTGGCCCCCAAGTTGCAGTACCCGCCCGGCAGAAGGCAGCCGGCCCCACACACAGCCCCGCACAGACACGTGCAGGACATTTCCTACCCTGGCCTCATCCCAGACACATGAGGATGCATGGGAAAGCCTGAGCCTGCCGGGAGCAAGCGTGAGGCTCACAGTGCACCTGCCCCAGGCCACATCACATGTCACCTGCTTTACACTCCCTGCTTTACATGCCACCCTTACACCCACTGCGTCCCCCCCAGTCCAACGTAGAGCCAGATAACTTTGGACCTCGATGAGACCTGGGGATGCAGCACATGGCACCTGCCCTCTTGCCTGGGCCCCAGGCTGCCTCCAGAGAGCAAGGAGGGCACCCAGGGTGTCCCAAGGCAAAGGGAGGGGATATTCATGGTGGGCCCTGTCCTCACCACCAGCACCCAGCATTAGCTGGTGGGAAGGATGCCGGGAAAGAGACAACTGCAGTGCAGGTGGCAGCAGCTATAGGTGACCCCGAGGTCGCTGCAGGCGAGCGGAGGCGGCGCAGGGGGCACATGTGGCCCAGGCTCCAGGCTCTCCCCATCTGCTTCCTGCCTAGCCCCAGGGGAATGGCCAGCCCGCATGCATGTAGTCACTGAGAGGTGGGGATAAAAAGAGTAAAAAGTCCCTGTCTATCTTGTCAAAAGGGCAGAGCATGGGCAGGCCACAGAGTCTGGAGGCTGGGAGCTAAAAGAAGGATGTATCCAGGCGGAGCCAGGCACTGTACCGAGCAGGGACACCACAACCACGTTTATTTACAAGCGAAAATCCTTTTCCCTGAGCTCCAGCGCCCTGGTCTGCCTCCTCCTTGCGGACCTGGGCTGAGCCAACCCCACGGCCCCGCTTCCCTCCCCGGTGCGTCCCAGGCTGCAGGGAGGGCTGGGCAGGCCCTGGGCGAGGGTCTGAGCGGGCGCGGGGACACAGGGAGGCTGCAGGGGGAGCGGGGCCGGGCCGGGGGCGCTGCGCTTTGTTCCGCCGCCGGCCCCGGCAAGTGCCGGGAGAGGACACGGACACTGGGACACGGCGCCTGCTCTGCCCAAACTGCCCCGCGGAACCGGCCCCGGGCCCGCAGCGGCGCTTCTCCCCCCGCCACGTCCCCTCGTACCTGCCCGTTGTCGTGGCCCTGCAGCAGCTCCTTGCCCGTGGGGTAGCGGATCTCCACGCCCGGGGTCTTGTCCTCGCGGTCGCCCGGGGAGCTGATGACGGAGCCGGAGACCTCGCTGATGTCGCTCGCGGTCTCGCTGTAGTTGTCGCCGCCGTCCAGCATGTCGTGGCGGTCTCCGCGGCGTCCGGGACCCCTTCTTGCCCACGCTGTAGGCGTCGAAGTCGATGGTTTTGTTCTCGTAGGCTCCCTCCACAGAGGCGAACATCCCCCCGTATTTCTGCCGCGGCGTCTGGGCTGTGGTGCCCGGCCTGGCCAGATACACAGGCAGATCATCTTCCTTATTCCAGTTCCTCTTTCTCTCGGCCATCCTCGCTGTCCGGGTGTCTCCCGCCCGCCCGCTCGCTCGTTCTTTGCTACCTCCCTCTTCTCCGCACCTTCCACTACCGGGATAGGCTGCTAGTGACCATAAAAATGAATGGATGGATGGATGCAGCAGTGCCGGAGCGGGGTTGGCTGCTGGGGATCTTTCCCTTAGGGAGATGCAAGCGTTAACCTCCCTCCCCCCATCCGCCCCCTGCAAGAAAAAGAGAAAAAGGAAAAAAGGAAAGAGAAAGAAATAAATCCAAGCGAAATTTTAAAAATAGCCGTGTTAGTAAAGAGCACGTGAAAATAAAGTACAAAGAGAGGAGCAGAGAGGGTGGCAGTGGCAGGTGATTGGAAAGCCCTTGACGAATGGGAAGAGCAGCAGCAATTCCCAGAGCCAGGACCGCAGTGCACACGCTCCCGGGCTAAAGAATGAGCCGGGGG